TAAGATAAGTAATGATATTGTGTGGTTTATGTCCACAAGAACATCTAAAATTCTTGGTAAAAACTTGCATGATGGAGGAGCACATCGACAACAACAATTTTAGTTTATGGTTTTGGAAATTGACAAGTTTTTTTTTAAGATGGTTTAATAAATTTCACAAGCTTGAATCAATGGGAAGTGAGTTTGATGATGGTATAGAAATTTGCTGTTTTAAAGTATTTTGGCAATTCAAGACCACGTTCCTGAATCAGGGTAAGGAATGTGAGTCTGAAGAATTCTCTTGAAAAATGAATTTTATGTGTTTGGCTGTTCAGACTTCAGGAATGTTCAAGCCTTGAAGAAATCAAGGTTGGTTCAGAATTGAGAATGTTTTGGCAGCGAGATAGGTAACTCTCGGGCTATTGAAGACGTTACAACCATATAAATGGATCGATCTAGAGCTGAATAAATAAAAATCAACAAGAGATTTGTTCTTGATATATTGAAGAAACAAGTTCGAGGTTGATGTGTTGTGGAAGTCTTCTACAGGTTCATTTTACTTATGATATTAGACTCATAATCGTCTTATCAATCTCAAAGACTCAGATACTATGGATGTTTGTTCTGTTCCCATTGCAGTCACAAGGAAAATTGTGTGTTGGTTGTGTCGCTGTTTCTGATCTCTAGTGTTATGCGCATCATAAATTGCAGAGTTTCCAGTCGTAGTGATTTTGACCCGATCAGTAATGCATTGGAAATGAAGCGTACCTATCAATGTGTAAAGTAGTGGTTGGAAATGCATCAAAGATTGTCCATTTAGCATGTACTTTAACCTTGGAAGAAGCTTGAAGGCAATCACATCAACAAAGAGGGTTGATTCTAATGGTGAAGTTTGGGAGCATTACTGGAAACAATGAGAATTCAAGGGGGAGTTTAGTTAATGCAGCATCATTTGTCACAAGTCCTTCTCGAACGTTTGTACTAGAATAGAAAGCTGCCTGATGAATCAGAAGACATAAGTGTCTTGGAAAATAAGCGAAAATGACAGCTGCGACAAGCCATCTTACGGGGCAATTCTCCGGTGGACCAGAATGAACCACAAGTTGATTTTAAGACCGTTGCGAAGATAACAAAAATGGATATATGCAAAACAAAACAGAGCTCAATAAGACTGAGGCTTAAGTCAAAAGAAAGATAAGTGCACACTAGAAGAGAATATCGAGTGTTGTTGGTCTTTTGATGTTCAACCAGAATTGAAGATGGCATGCATGAGGAACAATCAGTTTAGTAGATAACTGAGCAGGTTATTTAGTCATCAATACTGACCAGGTTTATGTTTCAAGAATCACATCAACTCAAGTTCTTTACAGTTCTTTAGGTCACAAGGATGTAACCAGAACCAAGACACTGTTCGTTTTATTCCGCAGTGAAATGACAAGAACAGAATACAAGGTCTGTTGAGATAGATGTCTCTGCAGGAAACGTGAAGAATCAAATGCCTCTTGAACGAGTTCTGGAGAAATGGTTCTTGTGTGCTGGTCTGATAAGGAAATGATCCAGATTAAGAAAAAGTTATGCCTTTCGCAGAAGTATGTAAGCTGGCTGTGGGAGACAGTGTTATATTAATACAAGTTCATGGCTGCAAATTGAAGAGAGTTGAGTGGTCTAAGATCTAGTGAGATACGACATAATCATGGTATGCTTGATTACATGGATGTTGATCAAGAGTTAAAGATTGATTTGTTAAGATTTAAGGAGGGGATTTATCGGTTATGTGTGACAATTAACAAATGTGGATTGAGCAAATGAGTAACTGGTGAAGTCAGTGATGAAACCAGTCTTTATGACTCAGTTTAGTTGATCAGTACCGAATGTAAAAGTTAACCAATACTCTGATATCTGATATTTGATTATCTTATCAGTGTAAGGTCTTCGTACTCAGAACTTGAGAAAGACTCCTAGTTAAAGATACAAGATTGTTGAATCATGGGTTTGTAAAATTTGTCTCAGTTTGGTGCAGTCTAAACAAGAAGCATTTAAAAAATTTTGAGCAACAAAAACCACAGGAAAGCTGCATATACAATCTGCAGAAGCGTGAAGACTAAAATCTCAAGGGAGAGACATATCGGTCAATCTTGTTCTAGTGGATTAATTGTGGACGTGATCCCAGGAAATAAGGAAACCGAACCCTAGTGAACAAATCTCTTGTATTGGTTTTCTTTGTGCTATGATGATGAATTGATGATTTTTGTGTTAAGTTGTAATGTAATAAGCAATTACCTAGATTCAACTTTACTACCCCGTTTCCACCTCTCTTCCTCTTTCAATTTTACTTTGATTTGCGATTCGGTACCAATCCCTAAACAAGTTGTCTTCTCCAAGGAAATTTACAAACGAGAACAAGCCCAATGGAGTCTATAAAAGCCCATACTCGCGATTGTCTTGTCTTCTACACAAAACCAAAACCAAAACCAAACGATAAAGTTTGTCTCTCTCTTCCTCCGAAATTAAAAACTGCTTTTGGTTTCGTTTCACCCAG